ATCATTTTCCCCTTCTGCAGAACTCACCTTGTCCTCAAGGTGAAAATCAGGATAAAGTACGAAAATTTTTCAAGTCTTCCCATGAAGCTTCATCAACTGGACAACCCTCCCAATGCACCAAGAGTTGTTCATGAGGTTGTCCGTGAACTAACTGAGTACGCCGATCTAAAATTGTCCTTGGTTGATCAATAGGTTGGTTATCAAAGCTCTCCAAGGGTAAGTCACATGCAGACACATTATCATTACCACGAAAAGGTTTAAGAGCCGACACATGAAAAATCGGGTGAATGCGACTACCAGGAGGAAGTTGGAGTTTGTATGCTACTGTCCCAATGCGCTCTAGGATAGTATAAGGACCATAGAACCTCTTAGAGAGCTTGTGGTGTTTCTGTTGACGGACTGATGTTTGCCGATACGGTCTGAGGCGTACGAGAACCAAATCACCAACAGCGAGAGTAATGTCTCGATGATGTGCATTGGCCTTCTAACGCATTCTATGTTGAGTAGCAGTCAAATTTATCTTCAATGTGTGGAGTAATTCGTCACGAGAAGTTAGGCCTCATCCAATACTTGTATAGAAGTGGATCCCCTAGTATATGCCGGGATGGTGGGTGGTCTTCGACCATAAAGAGCCTCGAAAGGGGACATTTGCAAGGCACTATGGTAGCTGGTGTTATAATGAAATTCGGCCCAAGGGAGGAATGCAACCCATGAAAACGATTTATGTTGAGTGAAGGCACGAAGATATTGTTCCAACCCATGGTTAACTACCTCGGTTTGACTGTCAGTTTGAGGGTGATAGGCGCTGCTCATAGCAAGTTTGGTGCCACTAAGTTCAAACAGCTTGCGACAAAAAACGCTAATAAAGACCGGATCACGATCAGACACAATGGAATGGGGGTACCCATAGTGGCGCACAACCAAAGACACAAACAACTTTGCTACTTTGGAAGCGATAAATGACATGGGGAGAGCACCAAAGTGAGCTGTTTTCGATAACCGATCCACAACAACAAGGATAACCGTGAATCCTTGAGAGGGAGGGAGACTAGTAATAAAATTCATTGTCACATCTTCCCAAACCGTCTCTGGAATCAGGAGAGGTTGAAGGAGTCCCGCTGGAACTTGCGTTGAGTATTTAATTTGTTGGCAAGTAAGACACGAGCCGACATACTCTTCCACTGCTTTACGCATATCGGACCAATACAAATTGACAACAACACGAACTAGGGTACGCTTCACACCGGCATGACCACCACTTGATGTATCGTGAAATTTGCTAATGATTGTATGACATAGAGGAGAGGTTGGGTTGATCACATAACAATCAGTATAGAAGAGGACCCCATTCACGATAGTATAAGGGTACCGGAGCAATCCCTGCATGTGTTGTTCACGAAAGGTCTGATAGAAAAAATCTGTAGCATTATCTTTTTGGAGCTGAGTAATAATACCATATGTAGGTGATTACACTAATGCTCTAAGTGCGAGTGTGTGGTAACTGTGTGGCCAGTCAGCTATCACACGTGAAAGTGCGTCAGCCACTTTATTAGAAGCCCCAAGTTTGTACTCGATGCGGAATTGGAACCTCAAGAGTTTGTGCACATACGACTGTTGTTCTGGAGTTTGTATCACTTGCTGAAGTAATTCCTTGATGCTCTTATGATCAGTTCGGATGACAAAAAAATGGCCTAACAAGTATTGTCTCCATTTAAGAACAGATTTTGTAATGGCATGTAGTTCCTTGATGTATACAGATACAACTTGTAACTTTGGGCCCAATTTCTTACTAAAGAAGGCAAGGGGGTTACCCTCTTACAATAAAACAGCTCCAATACCAACGTTGAATGCGTCAGTCTCTATCACAAATTCTTTAGAAAAGTCGGGTAAACTAAGGACCGGCGCAAAAAGAATAGCTTGCTTGAGGGCAAGGAAGGCCCTTTGAGCATTTTCATTCCAAGAGAAGACATCATGCTTTAGGAGATCAGTTAAAGAAGAAGCTATACTTGCATAATGGGCAGTGAATTTTCTATAGTATCCGGTAAGGCCTAAGAACCCCCTAAGTTGTTTGACCGTTACTAGTATGGGCCATTTTTCCATGGCTTCGAGCTTGGTCGGATCCGCATGTACGTCATGAAGAGAAACTATATGGCCTAAGTAGTCAATGGACTCTTGGCAGAAGAGACATTTGAACAGTTTCACAAAAAAAACAATGAGTTTTCAAGGAAGTGAAAACCAATTCTAAATGTTGCAAGTGATCTTCAATAGAGGCACTATATATCCGTATGTCATAAAAAAAAAATCACAAACCTTCCCAAGTATTGAGAAAACAATTGGTTCATAATGGCTTGAAATGTTGACGGTGCATTATTAAATCCAAACGACATTACAAGAAATTCAAAATGGCCCTCATGTATGCGGAACGCCATTTTATAAGTGTCACGCGAATGAACCCGAATCTGATGGTACCTATCCAGTTTTGTAAAAATTCTTGCGCCACCCAACTCATCCAAAAGTTCATCAATGGTTGGAATTGGAAATTTATCCTTAACTGTAACAGAATTTAATGCTCGATAATCCATACAAAATCGTCATGTACCATCTTTCTTCTTTACCAATAGGACGGGTGGACTGTGGCTAGGGATGATGATGCTTGATCAAGCATTTCTCGGATCAACTTCTCCATTTCAGATTTTTGAAATTGAGGATATCGATAAGGCCTCACATTGACTGGCTTTGATCCTTCAACAAGATGGATTTGATGGTCAACAGTTTTGTGAGGAGGCAATTCTGTGGGTGTAGAAAAAATGGACTGAAAACGTTGTAATAGATCAATAACTGGGATGGGTAGGTTGGGTGGAAAACACTGGCCATATTATTGGTGTGAACCAATGCTTGAAGCTGATGCAGTGACACTGATTATTAGGCTAGAGAGGCATCACCTACTAAAGTAACTTGGGTCCCTTGTCACATGAACTCCATAGTGAGAGCTGAATAATCATGAGCAACTTTGCCCAAAGATTGCAACCAAGGAAAGCCCAACACAACATTTGGACCTTTGATGTTCAGGATAAACAAATCCACCTCAAATTTAATGTCCTGTAAGATAAGAGGAACGTTATGACAACAAAATTGACAAACCAAGAAGGTTCCACAACCAGTTGCAACCTTGAAACGAGGGCATGTGGTTTGATAGGTAACCCCAATCGTTCCACTAATGCAGCTTGATAAAGTTGTGAGTGCTCCCGCTGTCAATGAGGATAGTGAAATTTGTTTGGTTATAAAGGCCGGAAACACGCAGGGATCGACTTTGGAGCTGGCTGGACAAGGAGTGAAGGTTGGATATGTCACCAGAGACATCATCTATTGAGTTATCCTCGGATTCCGGTGGAGGTTCATCTTCATCAGCTCCCATGAGGATAAGCACGCGGTTTTAGCATCGGTGAGATGGGTTCCATTTCTCATCACAGTTAAAACAGAGACCTTTTGAATGACGGTCTCAGAGTTTAGCAGAGGGCATGTTACGCAGGGAAGGGTTTGAGTGTGGTGTGGGTAAGAGTGGTGGTAACGATGCTGCAGTATTGTTTGATGGGTTATTTGGATTTGACTGGATCAGTTTGTTTGATTGTGGTTAGGTTAGGTATGTGGGCCTGTGGAGTGTTGTGGGCCACGAGACCACAATTTGCCTATGACTGATGTCTTATCAAAATGGGTCTCATATGCTCTGGCCATGGCGAAGGTTTCCATCAAAGTAACAGGTCGATGAAATTGCAATTCCCGTCTCAAATGCTTTTTTAGTCTTGTAATGAAAAAACTTATCAGTAGTGATTCGGAGATATTGTTGACCTTGTTCATCAAATCTTCAAACTGGACTTGAAAATTAGCTATAGAGCCGGTTTGAGTTAATTTGGAGAGTTCACCTTCAATGTCCTCGTACTGAGTTGGACCGAAGTGGTGACGAATAACGGTGAGAAAAACTGGCCACGATGATAACAAATTGTTACGTGTTGCCCATTGGAACCACCCAACGACGCGTCCGTCAAGATGAAAGGCTACGATCTGAAGTCGGGATTCTTCCGAAGTTTCATGGAAATTAAAGAAAGTTTTAATCTGGAAAATCCAATCCAAGAGATTGGAACCATAAAAACGTGGTACGTTTAATTTCAGCGCACGTGATTGTCGCGCACGTGATGTCTGTCCGACAAATGCATTCTATGATTATTTTTTTGCGACCTTCGAATCGACTTCCACAAGGTGTTGGTGGAGTGAATTGACTTAATATAGGACTTGAGCAATTCACGAAACTTTACCATCTGTACAGATCTACGCTGACTTCTTTCTTGTTCGTTTCCATTGGATCATCATTCCTTGTTGGATGTAGACTTCTTTCTTGCTCGTTTCCATTGGATCATCATTCCTTGTTGGATCTGAATTAACTAGTTGGTTTGTATCACATGGTCTATATTATTAAAATAATCATTTTGAAAGTTATCCATACTAAAGGATATATTTATTTTGATACACGTTTTTCTTTCAATTTTATTGTTATTCTCATAATTTTTAGTAATTATTTCTTTTATAAAAGCTTTTTTATTTTGTATTTATAAATTTTGGTAACTCTTATAATGGTACTTAAACGCAAATACACAGCCACGTAAAACTTCTTTTCAACTCATCTTTTGTCATCATTATTTCGTATCAGGCGTAGTATATAATTAGGAAAAAAGTTTGGGATAAAAATATTGAAAAAAGAATCTTGTGAAAAATAAATTACCAATGCAACAACATACGATAGTTCTATTGTTATCAAGCATAATTGCATAACGAGCGAGGGGTTCACAACTTTTAAATTAAAGTGTCGTATAACAGTGTGCTTCATCACAAAACTTAAATAACAAACATCGATTCAAAACCTGCCTCAAAATTAAGATACTATCATAGAAAGATGGAACTATAGATAATTGACAAAACCGATAACACATTCCTAAAGTGAACTCAATCTAAGCAATTGCCTGAGACTTGTTAAGGATCACTCCCTCATATTTCACCTGGAACCACTTCATCGCATCATCCTTTGTCACACGGTTCTGAATTCCAACACGGGACTTGCACCTTCGGCGACGCCCCACACGGTAGCCAGGACGCTCCAGAACAACAAAGAAATCCATTCCATAAATACCAGTTGAAGGATCATATCTGAAACAGAGTCAAATGTCAAGAACCAATCATTTGTGTGTAACTGAAATCTTCATAATAATCAAAGAAATCGAAACCATTATCTGACATATGAGGGGAAATGAACCAAAAAGTTAGCAGACATACACGAATGGGAATGAATGAATCAAAAAAATGAAAAGTAGGACAATGACATTGAAAAGAGATCGCACAAATTGCAAAACCAGTTTATTAAAACCGAGCTAATAATGTCCTGTTTCCTCAAAAATATCAATCCATACAAAACATCTTTAATATTAGGACCTAAAGAACAAAATGATCATGCTGAAACACCCATATGTTTATGCATGTAATGCATGTAAGCATTTTATTCAAATGAAGTCAAAGAAGTCAAATGAAGTCGAACTATAGACATGTCATGACATCCAGAATATTACGCATTATGCGTAGCACAACCCAAATCAAATCATCAACTTCCCATCTCTTCAGGCCTAAAAACTTCATGATCTAGCAAAGGTAAAAGCAACAACATGATTCAATAGTTGTTCTTCAACTTACTTGATTCCCAAATCAATATGCTCCTGAATACCAAAGCCAAAGCAGCCAGTATCACTGAAGTTCCTTCTGAGAAGTTCATATTCCTTCACCTTCAGACCACTCTCCAAAAGTTGCATTGCCTTATCACCTCTAACTGTGACATAGCACGCGATCTTTTCATTTCTTCGAATCCCAAAGGAACGAACAGTGTACCTTGCTGTGAAAAAGAATGAGGATGATAAACATTTATTACCAATCACCAATGAATAACACCTAGACATGAAATATACAAGAACATACACTAATAGTAAAGCAAAGACAATTTGGAAGTACTTCACACAGAAAAATATCTTATTATCTGTCTTTTGGACTTCAAAAAGAGGTTAAGATTTAAAGCCAGTTTGGATACAAAGTTACAATGGCTTTTGAGAGTTTCTCTCCAGGAAAAAGCTCCACACTTCCATTAGAGAAGCTGTCTAAATCACTTCCAGTGCTCTGAATCCCCATCTTCAGTTTTCGAATGCACTTGTGAATCAAGTTTCTGAAAACTATTTGATATTTCAATGCTTTTATTAAGCACAATACTATTGTGATAACCACAGAACAGTACACGCTTAATTATTACAATTATAAAATATTACAAAACTCAAACCATCCTACCATCAGGCCTGAGTGTTGTTGACATTGTAAATTAAAAACAGACACTTCTACTGAAACAGAATCTTCACCAGCAATCTATATTTTAGAAAAGGATAGACTTCCAAATTATTAAATAAATTCAAAAACAAAAAAAGTCCACAGAACACAGATTGATTTGAGATATATGCTCAATAACAGTATTACTACACGACCCATTTAAAAACTAGTGGAGAACTAACCTTTGGAGAACACTGGGGTTTGGCCACTCAGTTGTTCCAACACCTGCAAGACCCAAAATATGAAGATTCAAAATTAAAAATTGAACCTTTTATCTCTCTCTCTCTCTCTCTTTTTCTTTTTTTCCTTTTTAAATAAAGTAGAAGCAATGTGGAATGAAGTGAACCTTCGCAGCTCTGGTGAGTCGATCTCCACTCTCGCCAACAGAGATATTGAGGACCAGCTTCTGCACCTTTATCTCCCTCATAGGATTCGACAGTTTCTTCTCTGAAGCCTGAAGTTCCGTTCATTCCGATTCACAACAACCCCAAAAATTAAAAGAAAAAATGCAAAATAATATTAGAATTTGCAAGACAGTGAATTTGATTTCGAAAGAAGAAAAAAGGGAAAGGAAAAAAGGGTTTACCATTGGACTAGGTGGCTCTTAGGGTGCACCGTTGCGGCGGCAGAGTGAAGAGAAGAGTCAATAACAGAAGCCCCAGACAGAAAACAGCGTGCCAGGTCCGAATATAAAAAAAGGAGAATCAAAACGACGACGTTACTCAATCCTCTTGCAAAGTGTTAATTTAAGTCAGACGGACCCATTTGAACTCAAGGGAAAGCCCAACCAATCTTTCGTTGCAAATCACAATTCGGCCATGCTATTCACACACCCTTTTTATTCTTTGCATTTTCCAGGGGGTAATACAATACGCAAACTAAATTATAAGAAGAGATGTTGATAAGAGTTATTTTAAAACAAAAATAAATATTTGTTTGAGTCTCGTATCTAAATTGTGTCAAAATTAAAGAAAATTATTTAAAATTTAAAAAAATATATTTATATAATTTTATAAAATTTTGAATAATAAAATATTTATTTTTATTTTTAAACCATTTTTCTCAATAATTTTCTTTAGAAACAACTTAACCTTTTAATTCATTATCTTTCTTATAAATAATTTTTAACAGAATTACATATATTAATAAAAATAAGTAATTTAATTAACTTTGTTAATTATTTTAGAAAGGTTATTGATATACTAATTGTACTTCTATTGTTAATGACTTTTTAAAATTTTATTTATTATCATTCATTAATAAAAAAATTAGACGTACTCATAATATTTAATAGGCAAAACAGGGAAAAAAATTTAATATTTTATAAAAACTATGAAATGTTCTATAAAAAGTCAGGAATTTTTTCTAAATATGTTTATAAGAAGAACTAGAGGAAATATTAAGTTATTTGACTCACTTTCTCTATTAATTTTGACTATTATTTATTTTTATAATAGTTATAATTTTTTAATTTTTTTTTTGGCGAAAGCACACACTATTTATAAGTTGAGAGTGCATGATTTGGTCACTTGTATTTCATTTAGGTGAAGTTATTATTAAAACAAAAATTATTCCTATTTTGTCAATAACAAACATAATGGATGAAGTTTGTCCCATTATTAAGTTTATATAATTTTTGTATAGATAAATTGAATCCGATTATAAAAAACAAAGTTAAATATATATAAACAGAAAAAATATAAAAAAATATAACACTTCAAAATTTGTGTTAAAAATGATATGGTTTTCTTTTACATAAAAATAAGATAAAACAGAGTAATTAAACATTGATATCTTTTGGATGCTACACATAAATTTTTCAACTGTAGCAAAACTCTTATATATGTACATTATTTTATTAAGTAAGACTGCGGAATTGAGAAACTTCTTCCAAGGTCCTCAAAACTGAGAAAAGCTCTTCATTGATGAGGTTGCTAGATTCGAAGGTGGCCAAGTCAATGTTGTTGAAGGATGAAGGGTTCCCACTTCGTATCTCACAAATCACAAACCTACAAACTGGGCACTGACCCTTCGTCGTTAGCCATGGCACTATGCAATCCTCATGAAACATGTGGTTGCATCGAGTGAGCATCACCTCTTCACCACTATTAAAATCTTCCAAGCAAACGGCACACCTCTTACCATCTTCATCCTTTTCCATTTCCTTCTCTTTTAAAGGTTTTTCTTTAGCATTTCTGTAATATAAGCACAGATTCATAGCATGCCTCTTTGGGGGAGGGTGATGGTCATACAATACTTTCCTAAGCTTGCTCAAAGCTGTTGATTTGGAAATTTCTACCACTGGGGGAGCTTGTGTGATTGTTTGGAATGTGGATCTTGAAGGTGGCTGCAGGAAAATATCTCTGTGCCTTCCCATATCCTCATTCTGAGCATAAATTTGTTGTCTTCTAGGTGGTGGTGCTGGGAAACTGCAAATTATTCAAAAATTGGCAAATCAGCTAAGCTTTTCCTCCACCTTAAGCCAAAAAAAATTGCAAGTTCATGCAACTAAATAAGCGTATCAAGGAAGGTGGAGAGAGCTTGGTTTAATATGGGATTCAATTGATAGTGTTCATTACCAAAAAATAAACTATTGGGGTCTTCTTTTCCGTTCATGTGAGAATGGTATTTGATTGTTTGTTCTTCAACCAGTTGAATTTTTTTTGTTAAAACCAGGTTTACATGAAATCTAAAACTTTTTTATTCTGTGAAATTTATAGTGATTGAAACATGTATCCATCTGTCAATTATCAAAGCACGTGATTATTTTTTGAACACATTTTCTCACACAGATTACCATATTTTTGAAGTCTGAGCACATAAATAAGCAAGTTAGTTTGCAATTTGGCCTTACTTTGGTATGTGGTGGAATCCTACAGGATGTCTGAATTCCCAATCCCGAGGTAATAATACATCTGAACTTCTGTCATCCTGCTAATATTATGAACCAAGATTATGAACAAGCTATCATCCTCAAACAATGATGGGTCCATGAACATAAATTTAATTTGTTTTGTTCTTCTGTCAGCATGTCCTAAAAACCTTGACACTAAAACAAAAACAGAATAGACTTACGGTGGCATGAGTAGTGTTAGATCTGTAAAACACAGGCACTTCATTGGGTTCACTATGATTGTAATTGTGGCCATCATAGGATCTAAAACTTCTCTGCCTTGGGAAAGGTGTGGAATTGTGCCTGTGGCCGCTCATGATTTCACCTTCCTCTTCAATGGACCATGCAAAACACTTTTCTTTTCTTTATTTGGGGTGCAAATATAGCTTCAAAATAATCATATTTCAACTTGGGGAATTCATTTGGGTGAAAACAAGAATATATGCTTGCTGATAAGGGTGTCACTTCCACTCTTACTTTTTGAGTTCCTCCATGTTTTCTATTCTGATTCAAAGGCTGCTACTCAGAAATCAAGGAAAATAAAACATGGAGGAATCGTATTCTCATGTGTTGATGGATGCTTTGTTAATGAATATCATCATGCTGATTGTAAAGTTTTGAGAAGACGGAAATGGCTCCTATAAAAGGAATAAAATGGGAGGTGGAAATGGTGAAGGGAGTATATAGTTACATTACTAGTTGTGAGTTTGGATGATTTAGACTATAAGCTATGTATCTAGATTATGGATGAGAACAGCATACATATATATATATATATATATATATATATATATATATATATATATATATATATATATATATCATGACAAGATAGTTTATATTACATTATATTTAAAGGCATAACGGTTTATTTGATTTCTAAAGTTTTATTTTATCCCTAAAACTTTATGATAGTTTTCAAACTATTTCTTTAATTTTAATAAATCTAAAGTATAATTTGATTATTTAAATTTTATAATGCTTTGTTGTTTTAAATTGTTTAATATTTTTTTCTAATGCAGTAATTATGATTGGCTCATGAGTTTCATATCTAAAGGTGGATGGGTGCCAACTGTTTCTCCAAAATTTTAATATATATATATATATATATATATATATATTTATTTATAAAAAATTTAAAATTAAATAATTTATTTTTAAATATAAAATATATTATTATATTTTTTATAAATAATTCTTATTATCATTTTTATTTTTTCATATAATTTTTTATTTATATCTTTTTTTCTTTATTTTATATTTTTTTCTTTTTCACCTTTTTATTTTTTACATTTTAAATTTAATTTTTATTTTTTTCTTGAAGTAAACAAATTTGTTATTATTTTTTTCACCACTATAACATATATTATTTATTATCAAATAATTAATTATTTTAATATTTTATGATGTTTTGATATTAAAATATAAAAAATAAATGAATTGAGTTTTAAAGATGTCAATGAAAACAATTATATAAAGAAAAAATAGAAGATATATAATAAAATAAATTTTAACTTACTAAATTTAAATTTAATAATAATATTAAAAATATTATTGAACAATTTATTATATAAATTATATAATAATTGATTATTTTTAATATAAAATATCATCGAACACATTTAATATATATTTAATCTTGTACATATTTCTTTATAATTTTTAATAATTTTATATAATATATATTTTTTATCACAAATAATTTTAATATCGTGAAAAATTTATGATTATGCATTTATTTATATTATTTAAAAGTCGCGATCAAAAATAATTTATATATACTTTAATCTCTTAATTTTAATTTTAATGTAATTTTTAAAAACAAAACCACACTAAAACATGACCAATTTTTTTATTATCCAATATTTAAAAAAAAAAGTTAACTATCAAGTAAATTATGAAATTTTTTGTCTACGTGTTTAAATTTTTTCTATCTATATTTTGTCTTTATTATTATTATTTTAAAATATTTTATAGTTTTATTTTATTTTTCAATTTATTTATTATTATAAAACCAATATATTTTTCCTTATATGATGAGTGTTTTTGTTAGTTCAAGTAAAAAGGAATTTAATGCATATCATTAATTAGCATTTTGATTATGTTTCAAATTCATGGACTTGTGAACAATAACAGTTCACAGAAGAGAGATTTTAAAAAAATTTATTAGATGTCAAATTTGAAAAAAAAAAAACATTAGAAGCAGATTATATAATAGAGATTTAAAACTTATTTAAGTTTTAATACACTTTAATATTTAGTACATATAGTCAAATATTATTTTTAATTCTTATATATAGTATTGTTAATTTCTTTATAATCATTATGAGTTTAGATGATAGTAAACTAGATTATGATAGTGTTAAAATAAACAATTTATAAATATATGAACTATAAAAAATAAAATTATAGAAACTAAATGAAAAACTAAACCTAAAAATAATGATATTATAAAAGAAAACGTTATAAAGAAAATTAATTGATACTTTCATATTTTATCTAGAAAAAAAATGTCATTACAGTAAAAGTTATAAAATTATTTTTCATAAGAATTATAAACATTTTTTATTACTATTTATGTAAAATAAGAGCTAAATATATTTTTTCTTTTTGAAAATTATCTTCATTTCTTATATTTTAAAATTAAGAAATTAGTTTTCAAAACATAAAAAGAAAATACAAATTTAGTCTTTTTTCATCAACTTTATAATATAAAGAATTATTGAAATCATATTTAACTCTTTTGTTAGTTATGTTAAGATGATAAATTATAATTAAGTGTTAAATTAAAAAAAACTATAATAACATGAATGACTAAATTTGTCCATTTTTAATACCATAGGCAAACTTACACAAAACCAGGAATATATATATATATATATATATATATATATATATATATATATATATATATATATAATTCATAAATCAATTCTCTATAATATACAGTGAATGAATGTTGTTCAGTTTGTTAATAGTTTGGGTTTCCCAGAAGAGGACGTTGCAGTGAAGATGATGTTTGATTTGAGTGGTTGAATATCCTCCTCGAATAGATAACGATACCCACAACCTTTGACCAACAAAATCAAAGCTGAACAGGAAGTCTTGGTAGTGGGATGTGTGAATACAAGTTCATGAAGAGCAAAATCTTCATTTATCCATCCACTTAGTTCTTCAACTAGAAATTTTGGAGAGAAAAACATATTACTGACAAGTGATCAAATTCGAATGTCACCAAATCTCTCTTCAAAGTAATCGGAACCTAGAAATAGTAGCCATTCTTTACATGTTGTAAACCAAAGAAAATGCTATGATTACACTCATGTCGGCATGTATCAGTGAAATTATTATTTGGATGATCAGGTGCCACAAATAGTGTACAACAAGCAACACCTATCCAATTTGGGTCATCCATCAGGGGATACAACTCCAGTCTTACTGAACTACCCACATTTTGCTTAATGAACCACCTTGGAATTTCAGTTCCAGGAATAACAATACTCATAACTAAGGATTCTTGAGAGGATTTGAAGTATAGCTGGTACCAGAAAATAAACTATGCATAATCAGTCAACACAAAGACAGGCTAAGAAAGGATAAACTCGTTACCTCAAGGTGTTGCATCGTCGTAGAAAAAATCATGCTGTAATACTTTTCCATCTCGCTCAACTTGGGCACTTGGATAATATTTAACGACTACGGCTTCAAGGTTTTTGGCTTCCTAGAAGCGTTGTAAAAGGTAAACGAAGGTGTAAGACTTTTTGTAACAGTAGGGAAATTACAAATTAAGATTTTGTTTCAAAACCTGTTTTACCTTGTTTTTTTCTCATGACGTTTTGCAGATCCTCGTGGTTCCATATTCTACTCCACTTTCTTGGTCTTTGGTGCTTTTTATCTCACAATGCTCTCTCCCAGCTCTTTCAACAAGTCGTGCATCTTTATAGCCGAACCCTCATAGCTTATGGGTGATTTCTCATTCAGAACTTTTAAACCAACATCAGTACAAAATCCTCTATACTCCAAAAGTCCTGTCATTGTTATTTTCTCCAATAAATCATTGAAAGAAGAAGAAAAACAGGCGATATCTAAATATAGTTCTTTCTCCATTTCCTCCAATCCATCAAAACTTATTCGTAACACATCCATGATATCTTTCCTTGGATTTTGTTTCAGTCTAACCAACGCACTTCTCCACTCACAAACATCTCTATCAAATAAAAAGAAGCCCAATAATTCAGCTGCTAATGGAAGGCCATCAACATACTTCAGTGCTTCAAGGCCTGTTGGGCATTCTAAGTGTGAGTTAAGTCTCATATTGAGTAAGAATGGGAAAATTGAGCAACATATAAGGATATATGACTCATAACCTAATACCTTAAGATTTTTGGTTAAGAGTGGTGTCAATATCTTATATGGGTTGAACTTATATCTCATTGATGTACTAACGTGGAGGGACTCACACTAAAGGAGAAATTATTGGGTATTCCAAATGTGAGTTAAGTCTCACATCTTTAGTAAGAATGAGAACACATGTAAGGATAACCTAATGCCAAGTGTGAGTTAAGTCTCACATCTTGAATAAGAATGAGAACACATATAAGGATAACCTAATGTCAAGTGTGAGTTAATCCCATATTAAGTAAGAATGAGAACACATATAAGGATAACCTTATGCCTTAAGGTTTTGAGTTGATAGTGGTGTCAATCTCTTATATGGATTGAACTCATATCTCATTGATGTACTAATGTGGAGGGACTCACACTAAAGGAGAAATTATTGGGTATTCCAAATATGAGTTAAGTCTCACATCTTGAGTAAGAATGAGAACACATGTAAGGATAACCTAATGCCAAGTGTGAGTTAAGTCTCACATCTTGAATAATAATGAGAACACATATAAGGATAACCTAATGTCAAATGTGAGTTAAATCCCACATTAAGTAAGAATGAGAACACATATAAGGATAACCTTATGCCTTAACCTAATGTCAAGTGTGAGTTAAATCCCACATTAAGTAAGAATGAGAACACATATAAGGATAACCTTATGCCTTAAGGTTTTGAGTTGATAGTGGTGTCAATTTCTTATATGGGTTGAACTCATATCTCATTGATGTACTAATGTGGAGGGACTCACACTAAAGGAGAAATTATTGAGTATTCCAAATGTGAGTTAAGTCTCACATCTTGAGTAAGAATGAGAACACATGTAAGGATAACCTAATGCCAAGTGTGAGTTAAGTCTCACATCTTGAATAAGAATGAGAACACATATAAGGATAACCTAATGTCAAGTGTGAGTTAAATCCCACATTAAGTAAGAATGAGAACACATATAAGGATAACCTTATGCCTTAAGGTTTTGAGTTGATAGTGGTGTCAATCCCTTATGTGAGTTAGATTCAGGTCTCATTGGTTGAGGTTGTGTTTTTCCTCAGTTAATCCCTTCGAAAGACCTAACAATATCAAATCTATATAATCTTTCACAATGTTATCACATTTGAAATTTTTTCTGCAAAGTAATTGAAAAGCTTTATCTTCACTTAGGAGTTGAACATTGTAAATTGCTTCCACTTTATGATTTCTTAAGATATGACTATCTCTAGAGATTATGACAACTCTACTCCCTGCACCTAGGTGCGTAGGTAGTAAAGCCAATTTTTCAAGTTGTTCAAGTTGGTCAACATTATCAAGAATAATAAGTGCCTTCAAGTGAGATAACCTACTTCTTTCCATCATGATGCCCTGGGAAATATTATGTATCTCCATATTACGTTGGTTTAGAGTTTGACAAAGGAGTTGTTTTTGCAAACTCACTGGTCCAAAATCCCTGTAAATTTTACTTACATCATCAATGTAACAACAAGCATCATATTGAGGAGAGATTTTATGAAACAGTGCTGTAGCAAGTGTGGTCTTTCCTATTCCACCCATCCCATAAATTCCTACTACTCGAACATCTTCATTTGCACCCAGATCTAAATGTTCTTCCAATTGTTTCACACAAGAGTGCATATCAACTAAATCATCCCAAAACACAAAATTTGATTATGACCCAATATATCGGTTACCTCATCGACCATTTTTTCAATTTCTTCATGTTGTGGCCTGTACCAAAGTAGGGAAAAAAACACCAAATCATCAGTAATACTTAAAACTTCCATAAAGAAACTCATGTATATATTTTATGAAAAAAAAAAAAAAAACTAATAATTAAACACTTACTTATTTTGTACATCCCACCCATAACGATTGGTAATTGCTTTCAATGCATCTCTCCATTTGTGTACCATTTCCATATCATCTTTCAACCTTTCTTCGTATTCAGATAAAACTAAAAGATGAGAATAACCACCTGGTCCCCAGAATAGCTTCAAGTGAGTACATTTAAATAGGATCAATGAGTACTGCAAAAAATGGGAATCATTTTAGCTCTAGACCAAGTAAATTTTCTAGAATCGATTTTTATGTTATTGTCCTCAAAAAGTGCAATTGGTGGTCTGAAAATAGAATGGTTTCGTATAAGATCTCAAGATGGTAAAATTTACAATCTCAAGTCTCCATAGCATTTTCTTGAAGAAGGTGATTGTGCTAAACATGTACCAACGATGTAGAGAATAGAACACACTTCCACATATACTAATATACATATATTTCTTGTAAATTTGTAATTAACTCTTATATTTATTTTGTTCTTTTCTAGCTTTTGTTAACATTTCAATTTTTAGACCCTTGAAAATTGTAAGAGAATTACCAAAGATCACTTAGAAAACTGTTGAAAGAGTCAGATTCCCTTAATTATTTCAATTAAAAAGTTATCACTGTTAGAAACTTCTACTTCTTCAGAAAAAAAAATCATTATATCAATAACAAAGGAAATATATATATATAACTGTAATCTCAAAATATTTCTGTATTAAATTTTACCTGAAACCAATTAAAGTTACTCTGAAGCAGGGGTGGTTGAGAAGAAATATCTAGGCTGAAGGCTCTCCGCGGTCAATCACTTAGTTTCCTCTCTTGAGATGAAAAATTTCTGCCAAACATCATGTTTGAGTATAATTGTTGAAGATCCTCCTTAAATACCCAACGATATCCGCAATTCTTCACCACAACACGTAAACCTTGAAAATGATCAGAAATAATTTCGAATTCCAACTTAGCAGGATCAAGCATTTTGTCTGGATCTTGAGTAAGAAGACCGATGAATTCTTCCCGAGAGTAAAACACTGTAAACAAGTGATCTAATTCAACTGTCACCAGATCTTTCTCGAAATATATTGGAACATGTATATAACGTTTTGGCCAAAGGTGTTTATTATGGACACCGTATGCAATACAATCGTCATGATGATTCCTTCCGTCACTCAAATTTGTAGGATCTTCGTGTGTGATAAATAGTACACAAAAGGCAACACCTATCCAATTTGGATCATCCATAACAGAAGATAGATCCACACTTATTGAACTACGAGCATTTTGTTTATTAAACCACTTTGGAATTTGAGACCCAGGAATAACAATTTCCATCATAGCAGAGGAGATAGTTCGTTGCAAGTAAACCTGATTCCAGCAAGTTATATATAAAAAGTGTTCACAGAAAAAGTGAGAAAACGAAAGAAAGAATTGAGTGGTTACCTCAAGATTTTGCGTCATCCAAGAAGTAACCATTCTATAACAGTGTTCTATATCACTCAAACTGGGGCAGTAAAAAAGGTATAATCTCCACCAATATTTGCCAATTGTTATGTCTTTTGTTATTGGAAGCTCGGGGAAATATTTTAGTTTCTTGCAGTGCTCCAAGTTCAACCTTTCAAGTTTGGAAAGTTGCTTGATGGTACAAGGTAGTGTCACAAATTTGTTTCCTCCTAAATTTAGTCCAACTAAAGAATGTAAGTTCCCGATTGCATCAGGGATTTGGAGTAGATTGCAAAAGCTCAGATCAAGATGTGACAAACATTGGAAACGAGATAAATAAGGTAACAACAAACCAAGGGAATCTTCAGGTTTTGGAGAGGATAGAAAATTGAAAGGCAATATTAGAAGTTTGTATACAGAGGATGTTGACCGTTGGACGACACTTGTATTTTTATCAACTTTTTCCAAATGTTGTGTGTCTCTTGGCTCCATTAACATCTTACTATTCAGTAATTTTGAACATCCAGAGAGATTTAAGCCTCTTAGAGAACCGAGCCCAAAAATAATATTTAGATTAAGGACAAGATTTTTACAATTTTTCAAATCCAGATGAATAAGTTCTCTTAGAATACCAATGGATGGATCTATCTGGACAAGTTCTATACATCCTTTAAGTCGAAGACTCGTAAGATGAGGAACCCCTGTTAAGTCTGGCATCTCAATAAGATTTTTGGAGTGACAGAGATCCAGAGTTCTCAACTTAGGCAGGATCTGTTAGAGAAGCATAAGTAAGACAAATTTAATTTTCCATTAAAAAAGGTAACCAAAAAAACAATCCTTAGTATTTTTTTATTTGTGCAATTAGAAGGAGACAAAATGAAAAAAAAAAAAAGTTAACCTTTCCCTTTTTTGTGTAAAAGTAAGTTCAAAAAATGAGGTGTAATATATTTCTAATATGATAATTTAAATAGAGACAAGAAAATTGAAAGAAAAAACCAACTTAACAATGTAAAGGAACTTCAAAAATATGAGATGGAGTATCTTTCTGATTATTGGAGGCAAAGAAATATGAAAACTAACAATATGTAGTACCTTTGTGCCTTCCCATAATTTCTTGATATTGCTATAACGCAGTTGCAATTCTACAAGTTGATCTGGCTCGAAAGTTGATGGCAAAGACACGAAAGGAAAGTTATCCCAATTCAGATACCTCAGTTCATTAGAAATACAATTCAGAGATCCAAAAGTGTTCACTTTCTTAAGAATGAGCAATTGAAGGTGATTAATTTTTGATAGAGCATCCACTCTTATTCTTTCTTGTACAAACTCTTCTGGACGTTGTTCAATAACTATAGCTTCAAGATTTTTGGCTTCCTAAAGCAATATAAAAAGGAAAAAGCAATTATTATATTTTTTTAATAATTTCAAAAATTTTGAAGAATGAGAATCCAAGATTTCATATTAAAAAAAAAAAAACTTTTACCGTATTTATTTTCATGGCTTTTTGGAGATCCTTGTAGTCCCATAACCTGCTCCACTTTCTTGGTTCCTTGGGTGCTTCTTCTCTGACAATACTCTTCCCCAACTCTTGCAACAAGTCATGCATTTGAATCTCCCCATCTCGACAACTAATAAGTGATTTCTCAATCAGAACTTTCATACCAATGTCAGGATAAAATTCTCGATAGTCTAGAAGTTTCTTCCCTTGATACTCGCTGCGGTAATAATGACTCGATTTCGATAAGAAACATGCAATATCTAGAAATATTTCTTTCTCTAGACTCTCCAATCCATCAAAACTTATTCGCAACACATCCATTATATCCTTCCTTGGATTTTCTTTCATTCTAACCAACGCACTTCTCCATTCAGAAACATCTCGATCATGTAAAAATGAGCCCAATACTTTAATTGCTAAAGGAAGACCGTTCACATATTTGAGTACATCATATGTCAACCCTTTATATTCTTCCTTAATATCGTTAGATCTGAAAGCTCTTTTGCATAGTAATTGAAGAGCATGTGTTTCATCCAAGAGTTGAACATTGTAAACTTTATTTATTTCATAATTTTGCAAGATATGGCAATCTCTAGAGATTATGATGATTGTACTCCCTGGGCCTAGATACTCGGGATGCAAACCCAAATTCTCTAATTGTTCAACTTTATCAACATTATCAATAACAACAATCGTCTTTAAGTGACATAGCCTAGTTCTGATCAACATGGTTCCATGGGACAGATTGTGTATCTCCAAATTTTTATTTAGAGCTTGACAAAGAAGTTGTTTTTGTGCAATTGTTGCTCCAAAATCCAAATAAATTTTGCTTAAATCATCAATGTAACAGCAAGCATTATACTGAGGAGAGATTTTATTAAACAATGCAGTTGCAAGTGTCGTCTTTCCTATTCCACCCATCCCACAAATTCCCACAAGCCCAACAACATCATTTGCACCCAAATCCAGAAGTTCTTCCAATTGTTTAACGCGAGAATGCATATCAACTAAATCATCTCCAAAACTCAAAATTTGATTATAACCCAATATGTTGATTACCTCTTCAACAATGTTTTCGATTTCTTCATTTTGTTGCCTGTGCGACCAAAGTTCAGCAAAAATACAATCATCACTCAGAATAAAGTAAAGACTTATAACATAAAAAATCTAGCTTTATACTTACTTATTTTGCATATCCCACCCACAACGATCGGCACTTGTTTTGAGCGCTTCCCTCCATTTTTGTAGCATTTCCAAGTCATCTTTGAACCTTTCTTCGTGTTGAGCAAAAGCTTCTGCAAACTCTCCACTCTGTTTTCGGACCTCCGAAGGAGTGACATCATAGAAAATAGGGAGCAAACTTCGACCTGTTTCCACGATCTTCGTAAGCTCTTTCATGCACCATGTGGATGATGCATAGTCCTTCGAGAAGACAACAATGAAAACTCGTGACCCTTCAATTGCGCGCAAGAGCTCAGACTCCAAGAATTCCCCTTTTTTTATTGTTTGGTCGTCTCTGAAGGCCAGAACATCTTTTCTCTGAAGAGCAGCAAAAAGGTGATCAGTAAAACCGTTACGAGTATCACTTCTAAAGCTAACAAACACGTCAAAATTCTTCGTTCGTGATGAAGAGCTGCGTTGAATTTGTCTGCAAGCCATTGCAGAAGGTGATAACTGGGTTGCTTCAGAAGATAATGTGCGTATAGAATAATACTCCCAAGGTATCAGCAGGAGAAAAGTGACTTCATAAAGCAAATGAGAAAGCGCGTGGAAATTTACATTGGAAGACCGGTTGTAAGGTGTCGGTCGGACTTATTAAGGGTCTTTTATATGTTTTCATATATATATATATATATATATATATAATCACTTTTTTTTTTATTCATGTATATATAATTCTCTTTAATGATACAATAATAAATAAAATTTAAAATTATTATTATTATTATTATAATATTAAAGTATATTGTAAAAAAAATATTTAATTTAAAGGAGATGAAAATATAATTTTTCTTTATATAATATCCATTTTGTTTTATAAAAAACTTATTGTTATGGCGTGAAGTTGAGATGAAATCCTTGCTGAGAAAGGGTTACTTCTGAAGTACGGTATCACATTTAATTATACAGTTGGAGGAGCATGAGCTTCTAGGTACGAAAAATTGCTTGAGTTTCCGAAAATAAATAAAATTTAAAATTTTGTAGGATCTCAAATTATTTTTAAGATAGAAAAACTGCTCACATACTTACGATTTTTATAAACAATATAAATAAAATTAAAAACTTATAAAAATTATACTCGTTAATTTGAAAATAAATCGAATTTAAATAACCTATAAAATACTTTTAACAGTTTATTAACACTTAGAATTAAAATTTATAATAATATAAATTTCATCAAAACTCTAATATATTGTAATAAACTCTTACAATAAATATTGATTTCCATTTTCAACAATATCCCTTCTATTATTAGCTATTAAAATTTTCTCTACGAATTGAGTGAGAGGAACAAATATGTGAGCATATCCATTCTACAAATCTGACTTTGTGTTGATTAGTGGAATTATCTGAGATGAGTTTGGTTCTAAATACCCATTCTAACACCAACAACAGTTTTTTGTATTGGACTCTATCGGAACCATTCCTCAAGTTTTGTTTTTTAATCATGGTTAGCTTTTTTCTGTACTGCAACAATCCACTTTGGTAGTTTTCTGCTTCAAAAGTTTTTACAAGTTATAACATATCAATATTATTATATCTTTCATAAATACCCGAGAGTAAGTCGGTTTCTCTAATAAATAAGAAAAATTTGGAACTTATTTACATTCAATTTTCTCCAATCTTCATTTGAAAGATTCTACAAGCTTTTGAAGTTGTATTGTAGTCAATACAAAATTTTGCTTCTACCTTTTTATTCAACTTATATATTTTTATCTTTGGCAGATAAGTAAAACAAATACAATAAAAAACTTTGAATTGAACAAAAGATTCATAGTCATATAATGTTTTACAAGGAATTTTCCCTTTTATTATTTTTGGATGAAACTCAGTAATTTGCAACTTTGACCCAAACATTCTTTAGAAGTCCTTTCTCATGCATCATACTTCACATTCTATTCTTTCTCTCTGTTACTCTATTTAGTTGTAGAATATTATACGGAGTAGTAAGTTGCTGCTCAATCCCAACCTCCCGACAAAATGCATTAAATTGAACAAAGGTGTAGTTTATTCCATTATCATATTTAAAAACCTGAAATTTACAACCAATTGATTTTCAATCAAAGTCTTGAACCTCAAAAATATACTTTTGCAACATTAAACTTAAATCTCAAAAAATAAATAAATCCAATATATTATTGTAAAATCATCAATAAGGGCAGCAATATATAATTCCTTTTAAAGACCACTAGTGCAGAAAAGGACTTTTACGTCACCCAATTGTCGTCGCATGTAAAAATATTCGACGTAAATAAAACGTGGTGGCAATTTTGTAAATAAGGGACAAAACTTTTACGTCGCACATCCCACCATGCGACGTAAAAAGCCTCTTTTATGTCGCACCTGGGTGGCGCGACGTAAAAGAAGGCCTTTTACGTCGCACCACCCAGGTGCGACGTAAAAGAGGGCTTTTTACGTCGCGTGCTGTGATGCGCGACGTAAAAAGTCTCTTTTAATCCCTCCCTGGGTCACTCCCTCGTCTCGTGCAACCAGGGTTTTTGAGAACGACGACAACAGCTACCTCTGCACACCATTTTCGATCAGTTTTACAGTGAAAAACATCTACATTGTGTGTCATTTGACGAACTTGATATTTCTCCCGATTGGATTCGAGTTTGAAATCATTTTTCGTCTACACTCGAGGTTAGTGTTCTATGTCATTGCTATATGTTTACATTGAATCCGTGATTGTTTTGGGGATCTCAATCACGTTATAGTATGAATGTCTCCATCTGGATTGTTATTGGAATGTAATTATTTGTTTATTTGTTTGAGTGCATTCGGTTTACACACTCCATTGTTGTTGGAACGTGCTTTGTTGTTTGTATATTAATTTCTTTTTACATATAATTTTTAAATCTCTAGGAGTAACGAAACTTTATAACATAATATGAATCGAAGTTGGATGAATGCACGTTGTATTAGTGAAGAGTACGAAAAGGGAGTTGAGAAATTTTTAAAATTTGCTAGTGAAAATGGAAAAGCTATGAAAGGGACATATTATTGTCCATGTGTTCGTTGTTTGAATCAAATTCGTCATAAACTTGAGGATATATGTGATCACTTGTTTGTTTATGATATTATTAAGAGTTATACAATATGGACATGACATGGAGAAATATTAGACACCCCAACTGTGTCAACTACAGACAATTTTGATGAAAGGATGGATGATAATCTAGAGGATATGATACGTGATATTGGTGAAGAAAATTTTATGAAAGCACATGTATATGATACTTTGAAATCTGATTTTGCGTAACAATTGTACATAGGATGTAGTTTTACAAGATTATCAGCAACTTTAAAATTGTTTACTTTAAAAGCAAGAAATGGATGGACTGATAAAAGTTTCACCGAATTATTGGAGTTGTTGAAGGAGATGCTTCCTAAAGATAATACATTACCTATTCGTAACTATGAGGCAAAGAAGATATTATGTCCAATGGGTTTAGAGTACAAGAAAATACATGCATGTCCTAATGATTGTATATTGTACAGAAATGATTTTGCTAAATTAAAGATGTGTCCGACATGTGGTTTGTCGAGGTTCAAAAACAAAGTTGAGGAAAGTAGTGGTAAGGAAGAACTAGATGGTCCCACTGCTAAGGTGTTATGGTATTTGCCAATTATACCTAGGTTTAAAAGATTATTTGCCATAAAAGAAGATGCAAGAAACTTGACATGGCATGCAAATGGTAGAAAATGTGACAATCTTCTTCGACATCCAGCTGATTCTCCACAATGGAAAAGGATTGATGAAACCTTTCCAGAATTTGGTGCAGAGCCAAGAAACTTGAGAATTGGATTAGCTACAGATGGGATGAATCCTTATGGAAATTTAAGTAGTAAACATAGTTCATGGCCAATTATGTTGATCATTTACAATTTGCCTCCTTGGTTATGCATGAAGAGAAAATATATGATGTTATCTATGATGATTTCAGGACCTCGACAACCAGGAAATGACATAGATGTATATCTTAGTTCATATCACGAAGTGAATTTCAGGTTGCGTGCAATATTATTTTGTACTATAAATGATTTTCCAGCATATGGTAATTTGAGCGGTTATAGTGTGAAAGGTCATTTAGCGTGTCCTTTATGTCAAGAAGACACAAGTTATATCCAATTGAAACATGGACAAAAAATTGCGTACAATAGGCATAGAAAGTTTCTAGTTGCTAATCATCTATATCGTAAAATGAAGAAAGCATTTAATGGATGTCAGGAGAATGCAATTGCATCAGTACCACGCAATGGTGAACAAGTATATGAGCAAGTGAAAAATATTAATATTGTGTTTGGAAAGACCCAAAAGAAATCCAATGAGAAAAACATTTGGAAGAAACAGTCTATATTCTTCAATCTTCCTTATTGGTGTAAGTTGGAAGTTAGACACTGTATAGATGTGATGCATGTTGAAAAAAATGTTTGTGATAGTATAATTGGGACATTGCTTAACATAAAAGGAAAGACAAAAGATGGAATAAAAGCAAGACAAGATTTGGCAGACATGGGTATACGTTCTGAATTACATCCACAATCAGTTGGAAAACGCACTTACTTACCTCTAGCTTGTCATACTCTATCAAAGAAAGAAAAGAGAAGCTTTTGTGAGTGTTTACATGAGGTCAAAGTGCCACAAAGATACTCCTCAAACGTTAAGAGTCTTGTGTTTATGCAAGAGTTGAAATTAGTTGGTTTAAAGTCTCATGATTGTCATGTGTTGATGCAACAACTTTTACCAGTGGTCATTCGAAACATCTTACCAACTTCTGTTAGAATTGATATTACTCAGTTATGTTTGTTTTTCAACGCCATTTGTAAAAAGGTAATTGATCCAAAAAAGTTAGATGAATTAGAAAATGAAGCAATTGTAATAGTGTGCCAGTTAGAAATGTATTTTCCCCCTTCATTTTGGATATCATGGTGCATTTGATAGTCCATTTGGTAAGAGAAATTCAATTATGTGGTCCAATTTTTCTTAGATGGATGTATCCTGTTGAGAGATACATGAAGATCTTAAAAGGATATGTGAAGAATCAGTACAGGCCAGAAACTTCTATTGTGGAAAGGTACATTGCAGAAGAAGTCATTGAGTTTTGTTTAGGATACATGTCAAAATCAGAACCAATAGGTATTCCTAAGATGAGACATGATGGAAGATGTGAAGGTAAGGGTACTCGAAATTTAAAGATTAAAAATGTTAGTCGGAAAGAAGTTGACCAAGCACATTTATACATATTGAACAACACCGATGAAGTAATCCCTTACATATCACAACACATAACTGAAATAAAGGCAACACATCCACGAATGAATGAAAAATGGGTATTGAATGAACATAACAAAAGTTTCCTTTCTTGGTTTAAAAAAAGGGTATATGTTGAGATTAATGCTTCAGAAACACTTTTGAGACTTGCTCGTGGGCCTAA